CGCGCCGCAGTCGCGGATCCCGGAGCGTGTGTGGGGGGGGGGGGGGGCGTGCTTATGCTAAGAGGATGCTGGCAGGATCGGTGTCTCTTTAAAACCAAGCAGGGGAAGGGAGCCAGAGCCTGCACATGGCACAATCCACGCCCGCGGCTGCCTCTTACCATCTGGGCCCGGAGGTACATCTGGGCCTGGCTGGCTGTCAGGGCTGGGGAGGCGGCATTGCCCAGGAGCACAGCCTGCTGGGTGATGCCCGAGGCAGCAGCGGCAGCAGAGTTCACGCTCTGAGCTCGGTTGATCAGCTGGGCAGCAGCTGGGGACGTGGCCAAGTTTATCTGGGGAGAAAAGGAGAAGCCGTGGGATAGGATGCACGGGGGTCACCCCACACTGGTCCAGACTCTCCCCTGCCCCTCGCCAGGCCCACTTGTAATGGCAGCACCAGTCCTGGGAGCAGCAGGGGCAGCAGGCAGGGCCCGGAGGGCTTGAGCAGGTCAGAAAGCCAGACCCCAACCCCAGGGCCCCTCGAAACATTCACTCCAAACCGGGGCAAAAGGCCAAAGACCAGCAGACGCAGGCAATCCTGGCAGCCTGCGGAGCACAGGGCCTGGAGGGAAGCCAGGCAGGTCGGTCTGATAGGGACGCACCATGAGTCCATTGGCTGCTGCCTGTGGCTGTACAGCCAGCGAAACAACCATTTTGTCATGACCAAGCTGCTGCCAACAAAAGCTCAGGGCTCTATGAAGGGCCAAAGGGGCAGCCAGCCCCCTAGGCCAGTCCTCAGTACCCCCCTGTCCCAGGGACCTGGAGGGAGAGCCAGCTCTCCAGCTCCAAGGCTCCCAGCCCAGCAGGCCACCAGGGCCCACAAACCGGAGCTGCTGGGAACCCGCTGGGGGCTCTGGAAGTTCACTGGAACGGAGTGGTTTCACCAACTGATGCTTGGACACATCAGCAACTTCAAGGAAAATTGCATCACTGGGTTTTTCTGCCCAGATGCTCCTGGCTGCGTAGGGCTGCCCAACAGGTCAGTACTGGGAGGAAGAAGGGGCTCCACATCTCAGCCGCAGGGAGCCCACGTGGCGCTGGCTGGTTATGGGCACCCCATTTGGAGACCATGGGGTGCTAGGCTCATGTGGGTGTGCGCAAGGGGAGCCCCAGTGGCAGAGGGAGCTCTCAGGAGGGGCTGCGCACTTTCCACGTGGACGGTGTCTCCTGGCTTCACATCCCTGGGAACAGCTGGAGGAGCAGGCAGGACTGATGGAGGGAAGCAGGGCTGGCAGTGACTGGACAGCGGGGAAGCACTGGCGCTCAGTAGGCGACTTACCGTGGGCTGCTGCGATGGTGCCTGCTGGGAGGCATTGCTGCCGGACGAACCGCCCTGCCTGTTAGCAGCCAAACTCGCCTGCAAGGGAAAGCAGAAGGCATGTCAGCCCAGCCCGGACCCCGAGCCTGAATACAGTACAGGGGACTCGGACAGCCTCCCCTGTGCTCGGCCTGAAAAGCGCCACTCGGAGCTGCTGACGAGTCAGGTAAATGCATCCGGTCCCCACAGGAACCGCTCAGCTATGACCTTCCCTGGCCCCTGCGATACCCCCAAATGCAGCCCCCATAGGCTAAGCTCAATGGCAGCAACATGCACCTGAACCGAAGCACGTGCTCACCAGCCCTCCCAACACCCACGTTGCTCCAGGTCTCTGGATGCCCCCAGACGCAACCCTGCACTAGCGACTGCCACTCTTGACCCGACCAGTCCCTCTCCGCCTTGTCCCACAGCAAAGCAAAGCAAAGCAAAACAAATGCCGAGTGCCACAGGTTTTCTCTGGAGACTTCCCAGAGGGCAGCTCCCGTTGCCTGGGGCGTCCCAGCTCAGCCTCCGACTCGGGATCCTGGTAGGGGAATGGTGGGGAGGAGAAAACAGAGCAGATGGACAGATGTAGGCTTGGGGGAAGAGGGGCCTGTGTAGAGATGGACTGAGAGACAGACATCTGTCCCTCCTCCGCGCCTCTCACTGAAGCCAAGCTGGCCCCACCCTTAGCGTAACAGCAGCCCACAGGACTGCACGGTGCAAGCAGCCTAAGATAGGCCTGGGTCCCAAGTTGGTGATGTTCCACAAAGCCTGGCCGCGGTCCCGCGTGGCAGAGGTGACCCCCCCACCCCATACCTGCTGCACGGCGGCCAGGCTCTGGAGCTGGGCGCTGCTGAGGTGCTGCTGCTGAAGAGCCGCCGTCTGCAGCATGAGGTGCTGCTGCTGTGCTGCATACATCTGCTGCAGGTACTGCGCCGCGGTGTTGGGCTGCCGGTGCAGGGCCTGCTGGATCACCTGGCCAAGGGGACACAGGGAGAGGGCAGAGGCGTGAGGGTCTCACACGGCAGGGGCAGAGCAGGGCCCAGCCTGAATTCCCAGAGCGGGAGAGTGGGGAGGCTCCCAGGGCAGAGCCGCAGCTCAAAGCTGATCTGGTCCTGCCTGGAAAGCCAGGAGCCTATGCTGAAAGCATTTCAGCCACCCACCGCCTCACTGGGGCTCTGCAAGGGGAAGGAAGGGGCCAGGTCAAAGGTTAACTGGGGGCAAAGAGGGCAGGGTGGTTTAATCTCCCACAAGTCTCTGCCAGAGGTTTTCAATCTGTTTTGGGGCTGTGCTGCCTAGAGTTCTCCCCCATCCATCACGGGCCAGCTCCCCGCCCCACTCAGATTCCTGCCTGGCTATCCATCACCTCCCAACAAAGCCAGCTGACATCTGTCCTCCAGCCATGCAGGCTGCATCGGACACAGGGGGCCCAGGGGCCGGGCTGGGCAGGAATGTGGAGAATCCAAGGTGAAGAACCGGGCCTGGGTCAAACAGCTTCAATAGTGGGAGCAGAACAACAGGAAGCATCTGGACGTGGCCTGGACAGTGCTGAAGGGTGGAAGCCAGCAGATCCCCCTACCCCAGGCAGCACTGACTGCAGCAATGGGAATGCAGCTCCTGGTCTCAGTGCCTGGGAGGTGCACCAGCCTGGGGAAGGGCTCAAAGGAGACGCCCCATCGAGACCTCTCCCAGGGACTTCACTTCCATCCGTTCTTTCTTGCTCACTCCAAAGGCCAAGCACTTCTCAGTGCAGATCTAGCCACGTCTCACGGTAGGAACCACACTGCAGGGTACTGGAGGCCCCACCTAGTTCAGCCGCCTTCTTGGGGCAGGATCATTCGCGATTAAACCATCCCAGCCAAGGGCGCGTTTGACCTGCTTGTTAAATTTCCTAAGATTCCCTACGTGCCTGTTCCAGTGTTTGCCAAATCTGTAGTCAGACAGTTCCTCCTCATCTCCAACCTGTTCCCCTGCTGCGGCCTGAGGCTTTGCCCAAGGTCTGCAGCACAGCAAGGACATCCAGCACAGCCCTCCTTCCCTCCCGGGTTCCCTGGCATTGTGGGAGCAGTAGGCACAGCAGCTGGGACTGTGGCTGTGAGGACCCCTGGCTGCGACTGAAAGACGAACACAGCAGCGGGCCACAGCGACGCGGGAGACAGACAGCAGCACGGAGGAGCAGCGTAAGAAGCTGACAGCCAATGGGAACCACACAACAAGGAACCAGTACATATAAAGGAGCAGCAAGAGCCTGCGTGGCAAGCTCAGAGACGAGACGGCCCAGAGTGAGCTACATCTAGCAAGGGACAAAAGACAAAGAGGTTCTAAAATACATCAGAAATGAGAGGAAGGCCAAGGAAGTCCAGGCCCACTGCTTCCCAGGGAAGGACAGCAGCAGCAGCTGACTAGGGTCACTGCAGTATGGAAAGCCTCCTCCGCTTGAGTCTTCACAAGGAAGATGAATTGTGACCAGGTACTTAACAAAACTGACACAAGCAGAAGGCATGGAAGGAACAGCTTAAAGGAAATTCGGATGAGACAGATGGGTTAAGTCACCTGCCCTGGGCAAATTCATGCTGAGAGACCTAGTGAAAGCCATGCTGGAACTGCGGGCAGCAACGGAGCAGTGCTGGGCTGGAGAACGCCAAACAGCACCTGGCTTAAGGGGAGGGAAAAGGAAGATGGGGGATTTATGGACCAGTCAGACCAACGCAAACACCTGGACCAGTCAATTTATACACCCCAGAGAGCAAGGTGATGAAAAACAAGCAGCAGGGATCTGCCCAGGATAACTTGTATTGAACCAATCTCATTCCCTCCCCAACAACACAGGCTGACTTAGTGAAGAGGGAAGCTGTGGCTGCGATCCATCCCGATGCTAGTCAGTCTTCAGAGACCGTCCCGTGTGACAGCCTAATAAGAAACAAGGGAAATATGGTCTCAATGAAATTGCACTTGCTGAAAAACTGCTCTCAGAAAGCAGTTCACGATTTCTTGTCTGCCTGGGAAGGCATTTCAGTTGGGGGGTGGTCCCAGCAGGGCCTGTCCTGGCTGCAGTTCAGTTCAATAGTCTCATTCTTTACTTGGGTGACAGAGCCGAGTGTGCCTGGAATATCCGCATGACACCACGAGCTGCCAGCACCCGTGAAGGTAGGATCAGAATTCAAAATGGTCTTCATAAATCAGAGAAACGTTCCCAAATCGAGAGGATGAAAGTCTTAGAGGCAAGGCAAAGCACAGCACTCGGGAAGAAGCAGCCAAGTGTCCCAGGACAAACTGGGCAGCAATAGTGCACCAGATGCAGGGGTCAGAGAATCACAGACAACGCAGGAGCCTGCTACAGAACAGGCAAGTCTCAGCCTGGGATGAATTAACAGAACGGCCCCACGCGAGACAGCAGGGAGGAGGGAGGAATTGTTCCACTGCACTCAGCACTCGCGAGGCTCAGCCGGAGGACAGCGTCTGATGTGGGGCACCGGAGAGGTGGGCAAACTGGAAAGTCTAGAGGAAAGACCCCCAGATGGAAAACAAATCTATGGGGAAAGGCTGAAGGCACTGAGGTCCATCTGGAAAAACAATGGCTGGTTGTAGGGAGGTGACAAGTGGGGATGGGGACCAGTTGTCCCCCATTTCTGATGCGGGGGGGGAGGGGAAAGGGACACAAAAAGATGTGCAGCAAAGCTGACTAGGTTGGCTCCTAGGAATGGCTCTTACCGCTGGCTCTACAGCCTGCCTCAGCTGTGGACTTTTCAAAAGCAGAGCAGAGGGGCATCTGTCCGGCCAGGCCAAGAGACCTGGTCCTGCCTGAGTGGAGGGGCATGGACTGGATGCACTGCAAGGACCTACGGCTCTATAACTGCCCACAGGTGAGGTGGCGGCTTTGCTCCCAGTGAGCACTGGGCCATCCAGTCCATCGTGAGCAGAGACCTGGCCAGCACTGAGGAATGGACAAGAAACCGTTTAGCCCAGAGGCCTCAAGCCCCGTGATGACCAGAAGTAAAGAAACTCTCAAGCGGCAACTGGGACCATCCTCTGTCCTACAGATGGGGAAACCGAGGCACGCACATGACTTGCCAAAGACAACAGGACAAGGCACTGATGGAGACAGGAGCAGGAGCCCACAGCCCTGGTTCCCGGTGGCCCTCTAGCCACCTGTCCAAGGCCCCCAGTACAGCTGTAGGTCGAGACTGCAGACAGCTCAGCAAGGCTGGACGGAGCAAGCTGCCTGCACGGGACTGCGGCAGAAGCCAGATGCCCTGGAGCACAGCTCTGTGGAGCTCCTGGGCGCTGGGCACTATCCCAAGCCCAGGCCTCCGGTGCAGACTGGGAGCAGAGTTGGTGGCACACCAGCCGTATGACCTGGAGAGCTGAGGTCCTGTTGCAGCCAGCCATACTACCGCTGGCCCCATGGCCCGTCTGAGCAGTAGCTCCAGCTCCAGGTCTCTGCTCAGCAACCGCCCCCCTTGCAGGGAGATGCAACAAAGCTCATTCACTGGCCAAAATAAAGGGCTTATCAACATGCACCCCCCTTCCCGGCGCACTCAACTAGTGGCGCCAGGCTCAGCTCACCCAGGGCTCTGCGCCGTCAGCCCTCCGCACTGCATGGACGCCCAGCTCCCCGAGCCCCCCCGGGGCCCTGGTGGCCCGGCTCCACCTGCTCCCCCCTGTGCTGCGGGCGCCCAGCCTGGTGCTGCTGCTCGTTCCCGAGCCCAGGCGCAGGGAGCGGGTCTCTG